TGCATTGAACCAAACAAAACTTTAGTTGTATTTAAACAAACAATTCCGGTTGAAATTATATTGCATTTTATTGTTTCTATAAAACTTATTCAAATAAATTCAACATAAGATTCTTTTTGTTTTAATAAGCCACTTTTCAATTGCAACTATTGTAAAAATAACAATATTCTATTATTAAGCCAACAATAGTTAATTTTAATTTAGCATTTATTTGCTGTGTCTATTCCCCGGGCCATGAATACAAAAATAACAACCAACTATTCCCTCGTTTTCACCCGGACAAAAATGTAAATAATAACAACAAATTTCTCATTTGATTAAGTATTGTTTTTAATTGTGAATTTCGGGAAATAAGTACGAGATTTCCGAAAATCTTGAGACTTGAGGTAAGCAAGTAAGCTGCAGTTGAAGCTGCAGTTGTTAAATATAATCAATTTTTAAGTTTTTTTTTCCTTGATTTTTTTCCGTCGATCTTGTTTTCCGTACTGAGTACCAATGCTCCCGACGCCAGGAATGCACCTCCCACACCTGGACCCTACATATCGACCCATCAACTCATGAACCGGTGACCAACGGCTTTACTTCCCTTCCCGAAGGAAGGCGTGATCAGTGATTTTATGCCTCAAAAATTCAATTGCAATTCTGTTTGTTGCAAAAAGAAAACAAAACACAAAAAAAAAATCGACATTATTTTTGAATCAATAAACATATTGTTATTTCTACTGCGTGAATTGTCAGCCTTCATAAAATAAATTTGATTGAATCAACAAGAAATCTCTTTTAAAAACAAACATATTTTCTTGTTGACCCAGCTGCCAAATTTGACAACTTACGTCAAAACCATGAAAGCTCTTGTAAATTCGAAAAGATTTTCTTTTTGATTTAACAATCCATGGGTTTTAAGGGACAACAATACTGGATTGTTGAAACAATAATGATTTCTTTTTGCAGCCAAAACAACATGAAATTCTTATTGCATTTACGTCAAATATTATTACGCTTAAAATATTTTTTTCTGCGTGAATATGACCCATTTGACGGAAGTCATTGTCATAGCCAGCTGTCAAACTTGCCACTTGCTCACGAAGAGCATTGTTCTTGTCGAGCGCCTCCTTTAACTCCCTCATAATTTTCTTCTTTGAAGGCGTAACGAAACGTCAAAATGCTTTCGCTCTTCTTTCGCTCTTATATATACATATATTTTTACTAGCACTCCGTCTATTTCCATCGGAGCAAGCCGTCTATCTCCACCAGATTACGTTTGTTTCCTTTTTTAATTGGGACTCCGCCTTTTCCATCGGAGCCCAACATAAACTAAATGAAACTTACTGTGTGGGAGCCAAAGGTCCACTATCTCTTGCGCCATTGTCACGACCGTCCAATATTTCTCCCTCCATATGGAAGGTTTGATACTGGCTTGATTGATGGGCGCTACTGTTGACTAGTCCCGCTTAAGGTATCACCCCTGTGACTGATGAATAGATCTTCGAAGCCGCAGTGAGGGAAAATCTTCAAAAGCCCTCACTGTGGATGCCACTGAAGCTGTGGTTGCTGGATGGACGCTACTGTTGAGTAGCCTCGGCCCGGATGTTGTTGTTGCTGGATGAGCGCTACTGTTGAGTAGCCTCGACCCGGATGTGATTCGCTGTCGTTGTTGCTGGATGGGCTCGTGAAGGAAGCCCGCTGCTGCTGTATTTGCTAGCTGCTGCTGGTTCTTGGTGTTGCCGCTTCCAAGTGTGCCGTAGTTCTCTTCGTTTATCTGCTCTGCATGAGCTTATATAGGCACATATCCAGAACAACATGTGAAAAGGGCATACAAGTTTTTTGTAAACAAACCTTTGTAGCCCCTTTTCTCACCAACCGAGGGTCGCCCATGCAAACCAGCAATATCATCGGGAAGAAGAAAGTGTCCCCTACTCGGTGATGTTAAAGGTTTGCGTTGGTGTCATATGGGTGGCGAGAAAAGGGCATAAGAAGGTTTGTTTAGATAAACTTCTTCTTCTTTTTTTCTTCGTATCAGCCGGCGCTCGGCAGCCGTTCGAATTACGGAGCAATGGGCGATCGTACACAGCAATGAGCGATTTCATTTTTGTTTTCGATCAAAATATAAATGTTTATTAAAATTGACGATATATACATTTTGATACTACAATTTAAGAAAATAGATTATTTTTTCTTATTCCACTCTCCACTACTACAGTTATGAGCTTTTAGAAGAAGTTTTTAAGACTCTCTTGGACTAAATAAGCGCCGGTTAAAATAGGTCCAACATGATTCATTTTTGGATAGGTCCAACCAAAATTCATAACTCCAAAGGTTGTTATACATCTACCTCAATTTCCTACCTCGAGTTGCCTTCACCTTCTCCTGCGTCCCAACCAGTAGATGGTGACGCATTACCTCTGACTACTTTGATGTTGAATTGATAACACCAAACTCGCTCTTCAGCGGTCTTGGGTCGTTTTGGAGAACCGTCTGCCTTCGCATCCAACTGACTGTAAAACATATCTGGTACCTCTATACATGCAATTAGATTAACATCCAAATTCCATCCTTTTTTACATATTCTGCACAAAAAATACTTTCTAAGCTCCACCATGTTTTACAGTTAGTTGTTGATAAATCAGAAAAAAATATCATCAAAATGCAGTCATGAGCGAAGTTTTTCTCAGGTTGTCATTATAGGGGGGAAGGGCTAGTTTGTATAAATAATTTCCGCGTTGAACTTGTCGTTGGTTGTCAAGGTAATTACGCTGTTATCCACCTCTAGGCAGCTGTTCAGTAACTTCGTAGACAGTTTTTGGGATTCTTGCCCCCCTCCCCCTGCATAGACTTCCATAATTTTTTTTAAATTCGTATGGGCCGTGAATATCTGTGGTAATATGTTTTACGGAAATTATTGCATTAACACCATTTTTTTGTCTTGTTACCGAACACCAGTTTTCTTTGTTTTGGAGTTACTTTGATTATGCTCGATGAATGTTGCAAAACATCCGTGAATCTCAAACAATTTAGTTCAACAAATAAATATGAAACTTTGAAAAAGTATATCATCAGAAACATCATTGAATTTGGCATGGCTATATTGGAAATTCATGTAATGAGTGATTTTTTTAGTGCCGATAGACGAAAATCAATGAAATTGTTTTTTTTAGATAGATTTAACTCTATACGATATCAAAGGTAATACCCTAAGCTACAAAATAGATCCAATGTATCCAATTCGGAAATAGTGCAGAGATTGAATTGAATAATAATATTCTACTTTAAAAGTTACCCACATTATCAAAGATACCGCGTTTTACGGTTCTTGATAATCGATTCCCATGTAAATCTCATTTTTGCCAAAAATGCTAATGTCACTGGTAGGCGGCGTCCATTAATTACGTAGCGCTAAACACTTGCATTTCCGGCTCCTTACTCCCTCTTTGTAACAAAACGTAACGTTAAATTTTTTGATTTGGTTATAACTTCTTTATATCAAGCTAATTGAACATATTCAAAATAAAAAAAATATATAAGCGTACCTGCATTTTAAAAGTTAACCATAAGCAAAAAACTTATGATAGAAAATTAAAACATGTCTATTTACGAAGCAAGATTTAGTGATGAAATATTTTGACCTATAGTGCTTAATTCTAATTTTCTTATTCAACTAACCACACTTTACTTCTCTTTTTCAAGTGAATTTTTACACAAAATGTAATGTTTCTATGTTTCTATGTTTCTAATGTAAGATTTGATATAGAGTCTCAAATTGTTGAAATATTGTTAAAAGTTTATCACTACTTCTTGATTCCAAACTCGGCCTACAAATCCTTATTTCGTCCTAACGCATTGAAATACCAATTGATTAACTTTCTCCTACCGACGATGCTAGAAACAGAATGGAAAAGTTCATTCGGTCGGAGAGCTTCTGTTGTTTTTGAGAAAAATGGGTGTAAACATTCATATCACGCGTTCTTATTGACTTTGTATGGTAGCTTTTGGTCTAACGTATGATTGACTCATTGACACCGAAATCATGCATATTTGTGATGCTTTCAAGCCCAAAATGAGCGATTCGGCCGAAGTAGTTCCCTACCATATTTTCAAACTTTACATTAATCGTTATTTTCTTTTTCTCTGTTTGTTACGTAACGCAAAGCCATACTCCCCCATTCCCTAAGCTAAAATTCGTAATGATTTAGGTGATCCCCTCCTCCTTATAAGCGTTACGTAGTTTATGTACGCTGCCTTATAACACACAGGGCAAAATACGCATGGCTGAAAATATAAACAAGAACAGTAATCGTGAAACCGATAATGAAATCTTACCGATTAGTTTTCCTGTGCCGTAAGACATCAAAGACTATGAATATCTATTACTCATTTTTTGATTTACTTTGAGAGGAGGGTTGCAATGTAATCTGAATTATGGTTTCCATTTCCAAATTATCCATTAATTAAGATGAAAGGCATTTAACCAATATGATTGAACAAAAACTATCGAACAGGACAAGTTAATTTACTAATCCAAGATGTGCGTCGGTATGTAAAAAACGTGTTATCGATTAGGGAACATGCGGAGAAAGCCATTTGCGCCAGTAGGCAAATTCTTCAACTACGATACCACTTTGTCACGAACCGACTACTCTCCACACACAACACCAGGTTATGATGGTGATGGGTCTAGTGATTAGGTATATAGTTAACCCTACGTCTTTGGTTAGTTAAATTCTACAGCAATCTAGCGAGGGCAAGGAGCAACAGATATGTACTAAAATTTCCATTCATTTATTCCTTGTCCTCGTTGTTTTGTTGCATGCTACGAGAACGTTTTTTCTATGTTGGGCTAGAGCAACAGATTCTCACCGGAGTCAGGAAAATGTAGCAGAGAAGAGCATATCATGGGGAAATGTTGGTGTAACCTGCGCATGGCGCTTGATTTTCATTCCGAGAATGCATACAGCCGACAGCAGCTGTTGGTTTGCCGGCATTCAAATGTAAAAGCTCTAGCTCCAATGGTGGTTGCTTTCATTCGGTTGGATTGTTTGCTAGAGGCAGCATGTTCTGCTCAAAAAGTGTGATATTCGGTTCTTATCCAGAGTAGACAGAGTGTCAGTGAATACAAGTGGATGGTACGACGGTTAATCGGTGAACTTGAAGAGCTGAATGTTTAATGAAAGTTTAACCTGAGGATATTGTTACAGCATCGTCGCACGGATTCTTTGAGCAAGACATTTTTGTAGTTACATTAAAATCCAATCGTTTTTCTTTGTAGCTAAGGTATGGTTAGTGTTGTGTATGTACATGTGTATGTGTGTGTGACAATATAACGTAACTTTTCCTTGGAAATATCGTAACTTTTTAAAAATTTAGAAAATTATGAACGCATTTGTTCCGAAACTAGTTCTGTCGACGTTAATGTGTTAAGGTTTTTTGGGTTGTCGACTACTTTGCGAGGGAATATATAAAATTCTTGAATATTTTTTAATGAATCAAGTTTTTATAAAAAAAAAAGTAGATGAGTCTGTACCTAGGGGCACGAACGGAGGCTTGACGTGGTGGACGGAACAAATATGTTGATCGTTTACTTCTTAACTCTTTCCGTTTTTGAATTGGTGGCCCTGAAAAGGGCCGGTTGTTTTTCAAATGGTGGCCACACCAGTGCAAGTCAATGCTGACCGGATGACGGCGGTCTAGTCATGGTGCCTATTGCGGGAAGCCTTGACACATATTCCGATTTATATGTATTGATACAGATTTTTCTAAAAAATTTGATACAGATATCTGTATTTACAGATAACAGATTTGTTTTTAATATACAGATATTCAGATTTTTCAAATAAGTGGAATATTTGTTTAACTCTGGATTGTATTATTTAATATCCATAAACAATCCTTTCTTTCTTTTGAGTAGGTACAAGCAACTAGGGTAAACGCTCCTATAGTTGCGGTACGTTAGAAGCGTTAGGTTCCTATAGTTGTGTATTGAGTCTCCATACACATCTATAGGAACCTAACGCTTCTAACGTACCGCAACTATAGGAGCATTTCCCCTAACTAAATACCAATTTTTCACTTTTTATTTTATTATCTTCGTTAATTTTGAACGGACTTCTGATGCTTAGATGTTCTGATTTTTGATTGCTTAGAAGGGACTTAGATTGGTTAGAAGGGACATTAGTTTTTCATTCTTATTGTTTAATTAACCATATCACATTGTGACAGGCACTATTTTTTAATTTGCGAATCGGTAAACAAGCCGTTTTAACAACCCAAAAGCTGATTGATTACAGTTTGTGAGTCGAAGAGTCAACTGGATATTTTGACATTTGACTAGCGTAATATCAGAGATAAAGAATGTTCTATGCAACATCCAAATAAAAGTTATGTGTTGTGACAAAATACAATAAAGTTGATAAAACATATGAACACGATTGCAAATAGAGAAATACACATGAAACCATCCCAAAGTTTTTCACCAAAAATACTGATTACACTTAAGTATATATACGAATACTACATAAAAATTTAATTCTTGAATAAAAACAAAAACAAATGACCTGACAAAGATTTTCGTAATCTCGGGCATGAAAAATTCAAATTTTATGAAAATGTGATTGTTTTTTCATTATTTTTTCCGGTTTGTCTCTCATTACTGGAACTTGATTTTTGAATTTTTGTACTTTTAGAAAAGATAAAAATGACTCAAAATAGATCTAGATTCAGGATTTAAGGAATTTGAATAGATTAATTCTTTAGAAAGCAAACGTAAGTCATTCTTCAAGATTATAAGCTAAGAACAAACTATTTCTGAACTTCATATGAAATGAAAGTATATTTTCTTCGATCTGCAATAAGATCATACTATAGAATTTATTCAGATTATTTTACAGATTTTTGTCAGCCAGAAACAGATAAAAAAAATACGGTGAAAATACAGATTGAAAATGGAAATAATGTGGCAACACTGCGTCGTCTTTGTATTGGTGCGATGCGTGCTGTTCCACTCATACGTCATGTCCGACGCTTATCCGTCCGTTGCTCGATAGCAAATGACGAAAAAACTGATTTGACAAGCGTTTTTATTATTGCTGCTTTTCTCCTCCCTTCCTTTCATTGGTGAAATGGTGAGAACAACCCAACATTGAGCTCGCTCATGTGAGCATACGCCATGTGTCATTTGTTTGATTTGCGCTCTATTGTTGCGTCCGTGTTTGGGATTTTTCGTTACGTGTCTGAATTTTGATTTTTTTTTAATGTGACCCCCAGTATAGAAATTAAAGACGTAGTCCTACGTTAAAAAAGATCATAAAAAATTCGTTAATTTCTTGAAAACAATGTTGGATTTTTCACCGAAATTTAAAAAAAAGAGTAGTGTTGGAAATGCGCTCGAAATTTCTATTCTCTGTCTGGAGAAAAGTGAACGAGTTTGGTCATAAAAAAACAATTCAGCAAGATTTTTATGTCTCTCCATAAAAGTGTGAAATACTGCTACTTTTCAGTATCTGCATACAATTGGTATAAAGCCGGATTTAGATGAATCAATTCAGTGTTAACTCGCTTGAACTGCGAAATGAACATCCTGAAAGCTAGACGATGTTGGACTTGCTCTATTTGATGTCAACTTAATTGTATGCTGACTACCAGATCGGGGAGAATTGAATTAAACTCACTTGCCTCATCTAAACCCAGCGTAAGGCTAGATCATATTTTTCAGTAGTGTGACCATAGCATAAGAAGCGACTTACTAAAATTGCCCTTATACAGACTCAACTAACCCAGCCACAAACTATACTAACGAACCTTGAATATTTGATCAGTCAGCAGCCAAAGTTTCAGAAATTTTATGCATATACATATCCCGGTGTATTATTTTATTATAGCTAGTAGGTTAATTGTACCAGTTTTGACCATTGTTTCCTATTTTGGCTATATCAAAGAAAAATGCCTAGATCACATGTTCTTTGTGTTATAAAATTATAAATCCAAACCATTGGTAGAGACACACATTTAGAAATAACTATTTTTACACAAGGCGTAATCCATCTTTGATGAAAATTATGGAACGTAAACAAATATGCCATAAAAAATTAAGTGTTCCCTAATCGAAACATACGTAACTCGACGAAAAGTGCGTTTGAATGAATTTGAAGATTGATGATGATAATAATGACAGACTGCATACACTCAAAAAATTCCACTTGTCATCATCATTTTGCACTTATTGTGATACACATCTATGTCCTGTGTGCTTTGAACCATGCCTCACCTCAACACTATTGGTTCGAATTGGATATATTTGGATTCTATGGGCCTCACATGGTGATATCAATAGCTTTGAATTTTTATATTCTACTTTATCGACTTTTACTTTACCGAGTCTAAAAAAAAAATGAATTGACAATTCTAGAAACAAAGCTGCCAGATGCCTTTTTTAAACGGGTCTGATTTTTTATTCGATCCTGGACTGTTGGGGTGAGCTGTTGTCCGAGCTGCTGCCGTCATTTGATCTCACTGGGCCACGGTTGTTCTCATATATAAGGTTGATTTATAAGGATAAAGTCACTACTCATGTTTTCGATGTATACCTTGCAGAAAAAGCAATTCACATAGCATTGAACTGTAAAATACTTCATATTCATCTCTTTTCAACAGTAGTGTGATTTAAAGGGCACTTGAATTGATACTGAAAGATTTTCAACATTTCAAAGTTTGAAACATTAGAAATCAACGTGTATAACACACTGAACCGAGGTGAAATACACTTAAAATAAATTTGATTGTGCATTTGAAAATGAAACTTCTTAAACACTTCGATCAAACGTGTGGCCGTTTTTGAGTGTAGGAAATGCATAAAAATGAGTATTAAACATAATTTTTACCAAACCTGAAAAACATCCTTCCAATGCAATCCTCGAATCGTGTAGGAAGACGTCATTCCGATCAGGCTGACTATTGCAAGTGGATTTTCAAACGAAATATTAATACTTTCACAACAAGCTCAATGCTACATCGCACAAACGATGTAAACAAAAGTAAATTTCATAAATTGCTCAAAATAAAGATGATTTGCTACTATGGTATCACTGCGAAAACTATCTGGATTAATTCGAGAGTAGAGTGCATAAATGTTGTTTTTTCCGTCGAAATGTGTGAGTATCCTAATGTTTGTCTAAAAAGGATTATTATGAACTATTATTGAATGATACCGTCCCATACAACCTTTTTCCAATATTACCAGCATGATAAAAGCTTTCCTTTTTCCTCTGTTCGGGACCTAACACCAATGCGACCAGTAATTTGATCTATTGTAGTATATCCCGTGTCCTTAGTTTAGTGCATGTCGTATTTCTCCATCACTATTGAGAAATAATGAAGTATTCGGTTTTGATACAGTTGTCATTCTTGCCTTCATCACAAGGAATCGATTCTAGGTGAACGGTCCCGCTATGTATACTCTTAGAAGAGTGAGAGCACCCTTCAAAGGCCCGCCCCTTTGTCAGTCAAAATTGGATTCCTTAGCAACAAAATTAAGCAATGACACCGATAATGACCATGCATCAGAACCCTACACACTTAGAAATACCTAATTTTACACGTGACGGAATCCATCTTTGACATAAAAAATGAGACGTAAACAAACATGTCATGTAAAATTAAGGGCTTCGAGACTGAAAAGTTTGAAAGTTCGTTTGATTGAGCTGAATTTCGCGTCTATTATGACTCAATTTTGTGTCAAAATTGACGCTCGTATATGTCAGTCTCAGAGCACCTAAATTTACATGATTTTTTCTAAGTGTGTAGTCTTACTGCTTCAAAGTAGGGAGCAACGAATAGAAGATAGGGAATCACATAGATGAAGACTAAATAACTAATATTTTTCATTGTTTTAAGATCATCCTCGGTGGACAAAGCCGAGTCTTGTCACTATCAACAAGGCATAAAAAGTAATGAGGACTAAGATGTGTTCCTATGTTTACTGAAAAACCTTGTTCCCCTAATTTGAAGTAGTCAGGACTAGGAATAGGTGGTAGATCTTACATCCCCACGTTACAATTTCTAGTTGGAGAAACCTTTCGCTTTGATTTTGTTCAGCTGCATGCTGAATAATAATTGCATAATTTGCTTACCACAACTTCTGTAAAATCCTGGTTTACATTGGTTTGGGGAATCTATTCAACTCCGACACAAAGCTTTTTTATAAGTTTTTTCTAACGTTTTCATGAAAACATTTACCAAAAAAACAATTTCTTGTTGAAGAAACGCTTTCATTGTGATTT